AGTCCTCCCCCCCCTCCCCAAGGCCCAAAAAAAATTTTTTTGTTAAGAAAATTTTCACTTTTTCCATGTAAAAATAGTTTTTTTGTGTAAATTTTTTTTTTCGTATATTAGCCCTGATTGAATTTTTGTAGCCCGATTTTGGATCCAATCATGGATCCGTCCCTGAGTTCTTTAGAGAAATTCGTCTTGAAGCCCCATAAGTATTCTCTACATACTCACTTGTCTCAATTTCATTGTCGATTAGAAAAGATATTATTTTACGGAATAGGGTACATAAATAGTTAAAATCTCCACTAAATCGGCATGTGATCCTCACATGTATGAGTTTATGAAATTATGTTTTGCTTTCTAACTTAAAGTATTATTTAAATATTTAGAGTGAGACAAATTTTCACGAAAAATACATGACAAAGTAATGAATTTATAGATAGATTATATATGTTATTATAAATTGATTCTACAATTATAGTGAAAAATTAAGAACGAACTCACTCATTTTCTAAAGTTCATAACAACTACTTAGTAGGAGGCATATTGGTGCAATTGGGAAAATCGGGTTGCATTCTTCAACCTTTCACTTATTGTGAGTCCCAAATTATTCAGACATGAAATTTAAGTTCTTACGAGATGAAAATTGTGAATGACTTTATGTAAGAGGGTGAAAAATGTCAAATCATTTAAAATTAGATTGCTCTTTCTTAAAATCACATGAAATGCATGCAATTTTAACGTCCACATTGACAGATCTCCATATGTGAGATCTACATAAATGATTTAAATATGTTGAAGATCTTTCGAAGATTTAAAAATTAAAACCCATAACTACAATATGTAAAAGATTGAGGATCTCAGCCTAATTTTTCTTAATTATATATACATCTGGTAGTGTATGCGAACCAATCCAAATACAAGTACTCACTACTCCCTCGTTTTTCTGAAACTGTTACACTCTCAAGGATTCTCGATCTCATTTGAATTATTCAACTTGTACCTTCTCTATGTACATCATGATTGACGTTGTGTGAGGTGTAAAAATTGATTTCATTAATTATTTTAATTGTTGTTAAAATTAATAGTAAATGGTACACCAAGCAAAACTGATTTCACTTGAATTACATCGAAATCTTTCTCTCTTTCTTTTATTTTTGGGATAAAATATTCATAAATCAATCACACTGTGCGTATCTGTAAATGTTTATTGATCGAAAACTGAATCAGAACATGGATATGGAAACTCTAACTAGTCGGAGTTCTGTTTTGAGGGAGAGAATAATGAGGAGCACACCGAAGAAGCCGATCAAGACGGTTACGACTTGGGTTAAGCGGCAGCCGCCTAAGGCCAAGGTGTTTCTGGCGGTGGCCGCCGTGTTGACCACTCTTGTCTTCCTTCGTCTCGTAGTTCACGACCACGATAAACTTTTCGTCGCTGCTGAGGCCGTCCATGCAATCGGCATTTCCCTTCTCATTTATAAACTCACCCAAGAGAAAACCTGCGCCGGTAATAAAAATTTGTAGATTGTCTGATGGGAAAAATGTTAGATGCATGTCGATACTTAGTTGTGTATCCATATATGGTGAACTTTGAATTTGGTTAATTGATATTTTAAATATTTTTGTTTGTATATGTTACACTGAGCAAGAAAAGCTAGTCACGAGTTAAATTTTAGTATCCTATGAGAATATAATTTCCACATTAAGCCTTGTTTGGGAAAGATTATTATGAACTTCTTAGGAGGAATAGTGGGGGTGGTCTATGGCTAATGGATGTAGCTTTCATATTGACATTGAATGACTATAAATTTGTATCCTTGGTTTTCTTTCATTTCTACGTGCTCTCTCAGATGTAGGAATAAAGGACTTAGCCCCTGTTTGGTACAAATTAAAATTTAGATTATAGTCAATAATTAATTTTAACCACATATTTTATTTGTCCCGCAACTTCTAAACACATATTTTATCGACTTTTATTAAAATCTACTAAAAATGTGATTTTAATCTCTACTAAACAAGGGCTTAATCTATTACAATTTGCTCCCTTAAAAATGTGGAAAGTATCTATATTTAGTTTACCAATTATTGCTGTTTCCCTTTAATTTTCACTTGCACTATTTGGTTCTTCAGTTCTCTCTTGATTATCAGGTCTTTCACTGAAATCCCAAGAACTAACGGCTATATTTTTAGCTGTTCGACTCTACTGCAGCTTTGTTATGGAGTATGATATACATACGCTACTCGATCTTGCTACGTTAGTTACGACTGGTTGGGTCATTTATATGATTCGTTTTAATTTAAATTCGAGTTACATGGATGACAAAGACACTTTTGGTCTTTATTATACGGTAAGTCTTCCAATTTTAGAAATTCAAATCCATTTCCTTCTTCCAAGTTAATGGTTAATATGTAAACATTTCCATTCTTTCCATCATAAGATGCATGAAGTACGATCGGCCTACTTTAAAGTGTCTCCTACAAATGACTTAAGCATGTTTGGTTACACTTAAAAAGTATACTTATAAGTAAATACGTAAGATTTTATAACAAGTAAATATTGATGAAAGTTGAAAATAAGGTAACGGTTCGATGATTTTTCAAAGTAACTAACTTTTATTCTTTTAAATTAACAGAAAAATGAGTTATTTAAAAATGTTTGGTTACACAAAGTTACTTCTAGTAAATTTTACTTTTTCATTATTGGCCAAACGTGCTCTTATTAGGTTAATTTAACGAAGGTGGGAAATGTAAAGTACTATAAGTTACTTCTTTTTGGAGTTCAAGGTTGAGATTTGTGATACTTCTTCCTTTTCCTATTAATGTAGGTTATACCTTGTGCATTACTATCTCTAGCTATCCATCCATTGACAAGGCATCATACTTTTAACCGTATTTGCTGGGCGTTCTGTGTGTATATGGAAGCTGTTTCAGTTCTCCCTCAACTTCACCTCATGCAAAACATAAAGGTAAAATAGGTCTTTTATATGACCCACACGACTTTTAACGGGTTCATTCTAATTGTTTTATGTATTGTATCGTCTCATATTTGATAGATTGTTGAGCCATTCACCGCTCATTATGTTTTTGCACTAGGAGTTGCGAGGTTTCTAAGCTCCGCTTATTGGATACTCCAGGTAGTTTATATTGTATACTGCATGAAAAATATTATATACGTGTTTTTCATCATTTTGTGGTATGTAGACACCCATCTATCTTACTTTCATTTGGGACTCGATTTGATATTGTTAGTTTTGAAGTAAAGGAGCAAACATATGAGCATGTTCATCTTCTTGTTTGGTCATTGCCTTCCTTGGACTTCCATTATAAGGAACTTTTTATATTTATAAAATAATTGGTTAGAGATGAATATGTATTGAGCGTTATTTTGAAATATTTTAAAAGTGCTGTAAAAGTAATATTTGATATCAATTGGTTTGGAGGATTTGATGAGTCTCAAATGAACTAAAGAAGATAAAATTCAGAATAAAAAATTTAAGAGAATTTGTACTCTCAAAATTTAATTTGTATAATTCAATTTTTTTGCGATGACGAAATATTACAAATAAGCAACCATTTTATATTACATTTTTTACTTAAAAATTAATTGCTAATACATAAATTTAAACACTCATTAAAATTCCTAGATATATAAATAGAAATAAATTTATCTACAATAACTCTAAATTCATATAAATCAAGATTCATTGAGTATAGATTAATGTGAATATTAATTAATTAGGAATTAGTAACATGAAATTCATACATGGCAATGATTTTGTAATATTTATTACATATTGAAAAATGAAAAGTAAGGCATTATTAAAATAATTGAATTGTAATAGGGATAAAATCATCAAAAAAAAAAAAAAAAACATTCTCACTTGATGTAATATTTAATATATTATAGATTTGTCAAGACAAGTAAACTCATATAATTTAGAATAAATATCAATGCAAGAAGAACTATAATATTGTATTTTGGACCCCCTAATTATACAAGAAGTATATTCATGATGTGATTGTATACTGTATATTCAATGTATTATAGAGCCCGATGGACCATATATAATATGTATACGAGTTACTTTCCATGAATGCAGGTAGTTGATACTCAGGGACGTTTAATAACAGCTTCAGGTCATGGATTATGGCCTTCGTTGGTTCTCCTTTCAGAACTTGTCCAAACTTTTATTATGGCTGATTTCTGCTACTACTATATAAAGAGGTAGGGTGTGAGCTTTTATCGCATTGAAGTTATTTTAAAATATATGTTTGGCTATTAAATGTTGCTTCCGATCATTTTTTTTTTTTTTTGGACGAACGTATTTTAGCTTTTTAGAAGTTACTTTACAATATATTTGGGTTCAAAAACGTACTTTTACTTAAGCTAATATCTCAAATAGTGATAACAAAAAGCGTTTTTCTTTTTGGCGTTCGCAGTCGTCTTGGCGGACATGTTGTACTACGTCTTCCTTCAGGCGTAGTGTGACTTACAAGACTTTGTAAATGAACGAACCTTTATCAACGAACATTTACAAGTTGAGATACGACAATTTTGCTGCCAATTATGGGATAGTGGAGAATTGCATCTAGTTTTAAGAGATATATATATTATTTTTAGCACACTTGACCTGTTCTCTAGGCATCAGTGTTACCCTATATTTTTTTGATTATTTGGCCTTAAGAAAGATTCTTGTAATGTATTTAGAGATTTCTTGTAGTATTATTTCGTCGTTGCAGATCGATATGACTATAACTGTCCCCGTTCTACAGAAGAGATGCACTAAACAGTTGTTTTTTTTTTGTTCAAGGAGAAAGAAGAATGTTAGCTTTGAATTGTCATAGATTTCATTTAGATTGATAAGTGTATTTTTGCACAGTTATTGGGCACTTAATTTGATAGAATTATTGATTAAATGAATGAAATTCTACTCACAATTGTGTAATATTCGCTTTTATAGGCTAAAAATCACTCAAGTAAAGCGAATGAGGCAAAAGAAGGAAAAATGGACTAAAAGCGTAAAAAATTTTGACTTTGGGCCAAGGCAAACAAGTCAAAAAGTGAAGGACCTTGGGGTGCAATCTATGGAGGGCATAATTGAAAGAAAAGTCAAAATCTAGGGACCAAATTGTACAAGATCAAAGTTGAGGGACCTGATGAGCAATTATCCTAAGGACTGAGCTGCAAATTGACCAAAATTCTGTATTTTGGTTGCTGGACAGATTCTAGGGCGCTGCAGCGTTTTTTTTTATTTAAAAAGAATCTTGGGAACCATTTTGTCTTATTTTCGAAACTTTAAGGACCAAAGTTGCAATTTTCTTTAGGTTTTAATGTTAACAATAGCAGCTGGGCAGAATTCAGACGGCTTAATTATTCTGGGACGCAGCTTCTGCCTGGGACGATTCTGCTTCTTCTTTCCTTTTTTATTTTGTTTTCATTTTCTTGGTTATATTGGAGATGCAACATAGAGCTCAAGGAGTTAGCAAAGGATTTGGCAAAGCATTGAGGAAAATCATAGCCAATCTACAAAAAAGGATTTTATCTATATCTTTGTATTTTCTCTATTATTTAGCCATATTTGTAATACATTAGATGAATATTCTCCTTGATTATCATTTATTTAACATCGGCTAAGTATTGAGTTGGGATTTATGGTGTTATTTTAACCTAGTTTTAATTGATTTTCAATATTTGCTCTTTAATGTTAAGTTGCTTATTTCATGTGTTTCTATTATTGTATTTATTGCATTTTCATTTATGTGGCCAATGAATGAATGTGTTTCGTGAAGTGTACATCGTTCGAGAGAAGATTATGCATTTTAGACAAAATGGTAGGAACCCTAGGTTTGCGTAGTGGATAGAGATATACCTCTAACCCTAGGTGATCCAATGAGCTATTTTCACAATAATTTAATGCGGTTGTTTGGTTGTAGTCGACATAGAGATATAGTATGTTAAACCAATCAATTAGAGTTAATTTCACTCGAGAGAGGTAATTAGCTAAAATTGGAAGATCAGTCTAACATCGTAAATGAGTAGCGCGTTAATTGGCATGTGGAGAAATTGATTAGGCGACGGTTAAATGAAACCATGAATCCCAACCACTTTTCCTCCGAAATTTCCAAGACTTTATTATTTTCTTTGTTAGTATGTTTTTCCTTATTTTCTAAAATCAACTCTTTATTGTGTGTTTGTTTATTTTCATTGTTAGAATTAAATTGATTAAAGTTGTGTAATTTAAAGTAAACATTCCTCGAGGGATCGACAATTTGGACTTAAAAGGTCCACTTCATTACTTGAACACGACCTGTGCACTTGCGGTAGTATTTTAGCGAACAAGTTTTTGGCGCCGTTGCCGGGAAATGTTTTATTTCAATTTTCATCTTTTGTTGATTCTAATTTTTACAAGTTTTGTTCTTTTTTCTTTTGCTTAACTTTTATATATTTAAAGTGTAATTAACTTTTAATTTTGATTTCCTTAGGTCTTTGGTGGTGCATGCTTCGTTCGAGAAGTTTTGATCTTTTCGAGCTTGATAAAAAAACTTTTCGAAGAAGGCGACGGGAACAAAGGGAATTGAAAAGGCAACAATTGATTGAGATGTCACACCAAAGGGGTAATTTGGAACATAATGCTCAACCGGAAAATGTTCCTCGAGGTGGCATTCCACTGGGTTTTGGTAACCAAGCAGGTAGAGCTCAAGAGCCTATTGTAAATGAGGAAGATATGCTATTTGGGGACTTTATGAACCCACCCGTAGTAGAGAATGAATCAAGTATTGTCTACCCTCCATATGGACATCCAAACATTCAACTTCGTCCGGATGTTATTAGTTTGTTCTCCAATACCATTCCATTCTATGGAAGGATTGATGAGAATCCTCACTCACATGTTGCACGATTCATAGAGAATGTTGGAAATTTTAAATATGAAGGCGTAAATGTGGAGATGATCCAGATGAGGTTATTTGTTCACACATTGAAGGATAAGGCAAGGGAATGGCTTGAGACTTTACCACTAGGAAGTATAAATAGTTGGTTGGAATTTATTCAAAAATTCACAACCAAATTCTTTCCACCCGCCCGAGTAGCCAAACTCAAGCATGACATAACCACTTTCCAACAATCTGAATTTGAGAGCTTTCATGAGACTTGGGAGAGGTTCAAGGATATGTTTCAAAAATATCCAAATCAAGGAATCACAATGGGGCAACAAGTGAATTATTTTTATGCCGGGTTGACTCCTTCTTGCCGTTCAAATGTGGATTCATCATCTAATGGCTCGATCAAGAAGAAGAGTATTCGGGAAACATATGATCTATTTGAGGTCATGAGTGAACAAAGTGCTAAATGGCCGGAGAGAGGTTTACAAAGAGGGGTTGGTGGAGTTCGAGATGCTGAAGCTTTCTCAATGGTTCTAGCAAAGATCGACTCACTAGCAAAGAACGTAGAAGGACTTTCTACATCTACCTCGAGCTCTCATTTCGCTCATATGGTACAATCTCTGCCTATTTGTGATATTTGTGGAGCAAATCACCCAAGCCCGAGTTGTCCATTGATAGGTAGTGGTTCAGCATCTACCGAGCAAGTGGCATATACTCAAAACTTTCAACGCCAAGGGTACAATCCTTATTCGCAAACTTATAACCTCGGTTGGCGAAATCATCTGAACTTTTCTTATGAAAATAATCAAAATGTGCTCAACCCGAAGCCACAAGAGAAAAAAGAAGGTTGGGAAGAGGCCATTGCTAAGTTGGCAAACCATCAATTGCAATATCAAGAACGCAATGATGCCTCTTTGAAAAACTTGGAATGTTAAGTGGGTTAAATTGCCAATCTTATCTCCGAAAGGCAACAGGGGGCATTGCCTAGCAACACTGAAACAAATCCAAGGGAGAATGTACAAGCTATTGCCTCTAGAAGTGGGGTGTAATTGCCCGAAATCACGGTGACACGCCCTAAGGGTCAAACCGATAAGGCACTCATTGAAGAAAAAAAGATTATGCAAGAACCCGATCCAAAGGATGAGACACTAATTGAAGAAGAACCGGAACCATCAACATCAAAGGCTCCAATACCGGTCAAAGCCTATGTACCTCCTATTCCCTTTCCACAAAGGCTTCACCAACAAAAATTGGATGCTCAATTTGGAAAATTTTTGGAGGTATTCAAGAAGCTACACATAAACATTCCGTTTGCCGATGCATTAGCTCAAATGCCGAATTATGCCAAATTTATGAAGGACATTCTTTCAAACAAAAAGAAACTCGAAGAACATGAGACAGTAATGCTAACGGAAGAGTGTAGTGCTATTCTTCAAAAGAAGTTATCACCGAAAATCAATGATCTAGGAAGTTTTACTATTTCATGCACTATTGGAAATTTAAATTTTAGTAAAGCTTTATGTGATCTTGGTGCCAGTATTAATTTGATGCCTTTGTCTATTTTCAGAAAGATGGGATTGGGAAAAGCCAAGGCCACCACTGTATCATTACAATTGGCTGACCAATCAATTAAATATCTTCGGGGGTGTCATTGAGGATGTATTGGTCAAGGTGGACAAATTCATATTTCCAGCCGATTTCATAACTCTTGACATGGAAGAGGATCACGACATCCCTATCATTTTAGGACGACCGTTTCTTGCCACCGGCCGAGCTTTGATTGATGTGCAAAAGGGGTAGCTCATTGTAAGAGCCCAAGATGAAAAAGTTACATTCAATATCTTGAAGGCCATCAAGTATCCATTGGAATCTGATTCATGCCTTTGAGTGGATGTTGTTGATCATGTGGTTGCCGAGTCTTTTTACAGGCTTTCTAAGGATCCTCTAGAAACATGTCTTATTTGTCCTTCGGCTATTAAAGAGGAAGATCCTGAAGTTGAGCATATGCTACACTATTTGGATGCTACACCTTCTCGGTCTTATAAGAGAGCACCAAATTATGAGGACTTGGAAAAGAGCTCTTCACCACCACTGCCATCTCTTCGTTAGGCACCTGTACTTGATTTGAAGCCTCTTCCATCTCATTTGACGTATGCTTATTTGGGAGAGTCATCTATGCTTCTGGTTATCATTGCTATTTCCTTAAATGAATTAGAAGAAGATAAGTTACTTCGGGTGTTGAGGGAGCACAAGGGAGCCATTGGTTGGACTATTACAGACATTAAAGGAATTAGTCCTTCACTATGCATGCACAAAATCCTTATGGAAGATGATTTCAAACCATCAGTGGAGCATCAAAGGCAGTTGAACCCCAACATGAAAGAAGTGGTAAGAGCCGAGGTGGTAAAGTGGCTTGATGCGGGCATTATTTATCCGATTTCAGATAGTGCATGGGTGAGCCCCGTTCTAGTGGTGCCAAAGAAAGGAGTTGTCACGGTTGTGGAAAATGAGGATAATGAGCTTATACCTACTAGACCCGTGACCGGTTGGAAGGTATGCATAGATTACCGCAAGCTTAACAAGGCTACAAGGAAGGATCACTTTTCTCTTCCTTTTATTGATCAAATGCTTGAGCGGTTAGCAGGGTATTCTCATTATTTTTTTTTTATGGGTATTCAGGCTATAATCAAATTTCTATAGCCCCAGAGAATCAAGAGAAAACTACCTTCACATGCCCATATGGTACATTTGCTTATAGAAGGATGCCCTTTGGACTTTGCAACACACCCACCACTTTCCAAAGGTGTATGATGGCTATATTTTCCGACATGGTGGAGAAATGTATTGTGGTTTTTATGGATGACTTCTCGATATTTGGGACCTCATTTGACAGATGTTTGAGCAATTTAGAGATGGTGTTGAAAAAATGTGAGGAGACAAATTTAGTACTCAATTGGTAAAAATGTCATTTCATGGTCCAGGAAGGCATAGTTCTCGACCATCGGATTTCACGTAAAAGGATAGAGGTTGACAAGGCAAAAATTCAAGTCATTGAGAAATTACCTCCACCTACCTCGGTGAAAGGGATAAGGAGTTTTTTGGGACATGCCGAATTTTAGAGGAGGTTTATTAAGGACTTCTCAAAGATCACAAAGCCACTTTGCTCCTTACTTGAGAAGAACACTCCATTTGATTTCTCTCAAGAGTGCCTCCACGCTTTTAACACTCTTAAAGAGAAACTCATCACGGCTCCTATCATTGTAGCTTCGGATTGGAATTTACCATTTGAGCTTATGTGCGATGCAAGCGATTATGCCGTTGGAGCAGTTTTGGGGCAAAGGAGAAATAAAATCTTGCATGTTATTTACTATGCTAGCCGGATTTTGACTGATGCTTAACTGAACTATGCCACTACTGAAATAGAGATGTTCGCAGTGGTATTTGCATTTGATAAATTTCGATCTTACCTTATTGGATCGAAAGTGATTGTTTACACAGACCACTCAGCCCTAAGTATTTGCTAGCAAAAAAAGATGCCACACCTCGGTTAATTAGATGGGTCCTTCTTCTACAAGAGTTTGACTTGGAAATTCACGATAAAAAAGGGATTGAAAATGTTGTTGCCGATCATCTGTCTCGACTTGAGCAAACCAAAGAGGTGGTGGATGGGGAGATAAATGAGGTATTTCCCGATGAACAACTCTTGCAAATTATGCATCTTCTACAAGCCACCCATATACCATGGTATGCGGACCATGTGAACTTTCTTGCTAGTGGCATCATTCCCCCGGATCTCTCTTACCAACAAAGGAAGAAGTTCTTTGCCGACATCAAGCATTATTTTTGGGACGATCCTTTGTTGTTCAAACGGGGCTCGGATCAAATTATTCGGAGATTTGTGCCGGAAGATGAAATGGAGCAAATCCTTGAACAATGTCATTCCTCACCCTATGGCGGTCACTTCGGGGCCGTGAAAACTGCATCAAAGGTACTTCAATCCGATTTTTATTGGCCCTCATTATTCAAAGATGCTCACACTCTTGTCTCCAGTGTGACAAATGCCAATGCATTCGTAATATTTCCAACCGAAATGAAATACCTTTGAATTCTATATTAGAGGTGGAAATTTTTGATGTATGGGGTATTGATTTTATGGGACCTTTTCCTCCTTCATTCTCAAATCAATACATATTGGTAGCGATTGATTATGTGTCAAAGTGGGTAGAAGCGGTGGCTTTGCCCACTAATCATGCTCGGGTGGTAGTAAACTTTTTAAAGAAAAATATTTTCTCTCGCTATGGCACCCCTGAGCTATCATTAGTGATGGAGGTAAACATTTTTGTAATTGCCTCTTCGACTCCGTATAGACCAAATATGGAGTAAAGAATTGTGTAGCCACTCCCTATCATCCCCAAACTAGTGGCCAAGTTGAAATTTCGAATCAGGAGTTGAAGAGGATTCTTGAATTGACGGTGAGTGCTTCTAGAAAAGATTGGTCCAAGAAATTGGATGATGCATTATGAGCTTATCGTACCGCGTTCAAAACGTCCATTGGTATGTCTCCCTATCGTCTTTTGTTTGGGAAAGCTTTCCACATCCCAGTAGGACTTGAGTATCGAGCTTATTGGGCAGTAAAAGCTTTGAATTTTGATGTAAAATTGGCCGGTGAGAAAAGATTGCTCTAATTGAATAAACTAGATGAAGTTCGCCTTAACTCTTACGAGAATGCTCAAATTTACAAAGCAAAGACAAAGAAATGACATGATAAACACATTGTGAAATGCGAGTTCTTTGTTGGGCAACAAGTTCTTCTCTACAATTCTCGACTCCGATTGTTTCCCAAAAAGCTCTGCTTGAGATGGTCTGGTTCTTTTACCATTGCTAAGATTTTTCCACATGAATCAGATTCCAATGGATACTTGATGGCCTTCAAGATATTGAATGTAACTTTTTCATCTTGGGCTCTTACAATGAGCTACCCCTTTTGCACATCAATCAAAGCTCGGCCGGTGGCAAGAAACGGTCGTCCTAAAATGATAGGGATGTCATGATCCTCTTCCATGTCAAGAATTATGAAATCGGCTGGAAATATGAATTTGTCCACCTTGACCAATACATCCTCAATGACACCCCCGAGGATATTTAATTGATTGGTCAGCCAATTGTAATGATACAGTGGTGGCCTTGGCTTCTCCCAATCCCATCTTTCTGAAAATAGACAAAGGCATCAAATTAATACTGGCACCAAGATCACATAAAGCTTTACTAAAATTTAAATTTCCAATAGTGCATGAAATAGTAAAACTTCCTGGATCATTGATTTTCGGTGATAACTTCTTTTGAAGAATAGAACTACACTCTTCCGTTAGCATTACTGTCTCATGTTCTTCGAGTTTCTTTTTGTTTGAAAGAATGTCCTTCATAAATTTGGCATAATTCGGCATTTGAGCTAATGCATCGGCAAACGGAATGTTTATGTGTAGCTTCTTGAATACCTCCAAAAATTTTCCAAATTGAGCATCCAATTTTTGTTGGTGAAGCCTTTGTGGAAATTGAGCATCCAATTTTCCAATCAATTGGATGATGCATTATGAGCTTATCGTATCGCGTTCAAAACGCCCATTGGTATGTCTCCCTATCGTCTTTTGTTTGGGAAAGCTTTCCACATCCCAGTAGGACTTGAGTATCGAGCTTATTGGGCAGTAAAAGCTTTGAATTTTGATGTAAAATTGGCCGGTGAGAAAAGATTGCTCCAATTGAATAAACTAGATGAAGTTCGCCTTAACTCTTACGAGAATGCTCAAATTTACAAAGCAAAGACAAAGAAATGACATGATAAACACATTGTGAAATGCGAGTTCTTTGTTGGGCAACAAGTTCTTCTCTACAATTCTCGACTCCGATTGTTTCCCGGAAAGCTCTGCTTGAGATGGTCTGGTCCTTTTACCATTGCTAAGATTTTTCCACATAGAGCAATTGAACTTCATCATGATGAAAAGGGGAACTTCAAGGTTAATGGGCAACGATTGAAACTATACTTTGGAGGTGATTTTTCTAAGGAGAAGTCCTCCATTCCTCTTGCCAATTTGAAGTGAACAAGGCCTATAGACGAGCTAGGGACTATAACCAAGCGCTTGTTGGGGGCAACCCAACTTTCTTATCCTTACACTTTTGTTTATGTTACTTGTGATTAATACTTTTGTTATTACATTTTGAATTAATACAATTCTTTTGTAGGTCAAATTTTTTGAAGTCCTAGCCACCCATAGATCTCAACAAGTTTGGGGGTGCATGGTCCACTAAGTCATAAACCAAAAATCCATCTACAACATCCTTCAACAAACACCTAATCAGGGAAGTTTCGTCAACCCTCTCTCCTTATTTTGTATTTATGCACACATTGAGGACAATGTGTGGTTTAAGTTTGGGGGTGATTGTGCTTGAATTGGTGATATTGTGTTGATATGTTAGATAGACTTGCCGGCTTTGCATGGTTTTGATGTTTGAAATTGTTATTGATTCATGAGTTATACATACATGACCAAATATGCTATTTGTGCGTAATTTTTTCAAAAAAATTGCTTATCGATTGTGAGATTTTGGATTACTTTGAGCACAATAGTCATGATTAATTGTTATCTAGATGTGAAAATTTTTTGATTGAAGGATATATTTTTGAATTGGTTGAACTAGGTCGTGACTTGTGAGTTGTTTGGAAATTTTTATCAATCTATATTCTCTTTTCTTTCACTTTACCACATTGTGAGATAAGTTTGGGGGTGGTCGAGCCGGTGAAGGAGATTATCTAGAAGTTTGTGATTTCGTGCATGTTGTTTGTGTGGAGTGTCTTTTGCCGAGTATAAGCTAGTTAATGACCGTATGCTAGGGATCTAAGCCCCATTTTTGTTGTGTTAAAAAAAATGAAATTATTGTACTTGTTGAATCTTGGGCCTCACTTCGTAGCATTTTTTACTCGAGTTATTAAGTCCGTAGGGGAGCTCGGTACCCTTTGGCCTAAACAACCGGGGAGTTATCGACCTAAAACTCGCTACAAGGGTCAAGAAGAAAGCTTAAAAGAGTGAGGTAAAACATGAGATTCGGCTAAATAGAAAAAGGAAAAAAAAAAGAGAGAAAAAATTGTTATTGATATTTGGACTTAGATAACTAGTGGGTTTGAATTGTTTATTATACACTTGAATGTGAAAGTACTCGTTAGTAGAGAATCATTACATAACTAGAGATTGATATTACTAGTTAGACCCAACCGAATTGGAGCGGGAAAAGAAATGAGTGAATTGAGAGCAGCCTTAGATTTATACCTTGAGGAAAGAAATGAATATCTATTTGAGGAGTGTAAATTTTACGAGTGGGAAAGGAAATATTTGACCACAGAGGGTCAGGTTGGAGTCAATTTGAAGATTTTTCCATCTTGACAACTTTTCTTAATTTAGATGATAATTGAAAGTGACTATACACATACACACCGATCGAACATTGGATAAACTCAAATTATTTTTTTTTTAGCATTATTTGGAGCATATTTGTGAATTGATTATACAATTTTAGACTCATTGATATTTTTGGCAAGCTATTTAGTGTGTTGACTATTATCACTTTTGCTTGATTATGTGGTAGATAATCTTGCTCGAGACAAGCAAGAGCTTAAGTTTGGGGGTGTGAAAAGTGTATTTTTACACACTTATTGGACACTTAACTTGATATAATTATTGATTAAATGAATGAAATTCTACTCACAATTGTGTAATATTCGCTTTTGTAAACAAAAAATCACTCAAGTAAAGAGAACAAGGCAAAAGAAGGAAAAATGGACTAAAAGCGTACAACATTTGTGACTCTGGGCCAAGGCAAACAAGTTAAAAAGCGAAGAACCTTGGGGTGCAATCTATGGAGGGCATAATTGAAAGAAAAGTCAAAATCTAGGGACCAAATTGTACAAGATCAAAGTTGAGGGACTTGATGTGCAATTATTCTAAGGACTGAGCTGCAAATTGACTAAAATTCTATATTTTGGTTGCTGGACAGATTCTTGGGCGCTGCAGCGTTTTTTCATTTAAAAAGAATCTTGGGAACCATTTTGTCTTATTTTCGAAACTTCAGGGACCAAAGCTGCAATTTTCCTTAGGTTTTAATGTTAAAAACAGCAGCTGGGCAGAATTCAGACGGCTTCATTATTCTAAGACGCAGCTTCTGCCTAGGACGATTCTGCTTCTTCTTTCTTTTTTATTTTGTTTTCATGTTCTTTTCCTTTTCTTTTTCTTGGTTATTTTGGAGATACAACATAAAACTCAAGGAGTTAGCAAAGGATTTAGCAAAGCATTGGGGAAAATCATAGCTAATCTACAAAAAAGGGTTTTATCTATATCTTTTTATTTTCTCCATTATTTAGCCATATTTGTAATACATTGGATGAATATTCTCCTTGATTATCATTTATTTAACATGGGCTAAGTATTGAGTTGGGATTTATGGTGTTAGTTTAACCTAGTTTTAATTGATTTTCAATATTTGCTCTTTAATGTTAAGTTGCTTATTTCATGTGTTTCTATTATTGTATTTATTACATTTTCATTTATGTGGCCAATGAATGAATGTGTTTCGTGAAGTGTACATCATTTGAGAGGAGATTGTACATTTTAGACAAAATGGTAGGAACCCTAGGTCTGCGTAGTGGATAGAGATATACCTCTAACCCTAGGTGATCCAATGAGCTATTTTCACAACAATTTAATACGATTGTTTGGTTATAATCGACATAGAGATATAGTATGTTAAACCAATCAATTATGATTAATTTCACTCAAGAGAGGTAATTAGCTAAAATTGGAAAATCGGGTCTAACATCGTAAATGAGTAGCATGTTAATTGGCATGTGGAGAAATTGATTAGGAGACGGTTAAATGAAACCATGAATCCCAACCACTTTTCCTCCAAAATTTCCAAGACTTTATTATTTTCTTAGTTAGTATGTTTTTCCGTATTTTCTAAAATCAACTCTTTATTGTGTTTGTTTATTTTCATTGTTAGAATTAAATTGATTAAAGTTGTGTAATTTAAAGTAAACATTCCTCGAGGGATCGACAATCCGGAGTTAAAAGGTCCACTTTATTACTTGAACGCGACCTGTGCGATAGTATTTTAGCGAACATAGATCATAATCTTCCTTTATGTCAAGAAAATATAATAGAGATTTTTTATTTTATTTTATTTCGATTGAGATCATAGAACCAAATCAAGAAAATAAAAAGTTACATCTCAAATAGGCTATGAAATTTTCAAAAGTCAATAATATCAATCAATACTAAAATATATATATATATATATATATATAATTTTTAGAATCGTTACAAGGTAATTCAAGAGGAAAGGTGGCCGTCATTTTCGTGTATTGTATTTTATACTTGAAAATTTTCAATTTTTGAACAGTTGTATTCAATAGATAAAGTTCAGTGTTCATTCAAAAGCATTTTAAAGTTCAGTTAGTAAAATATGACAGAAGCATACGTTTAGTGAGTAAAGCGTAATTGAGGTATAAGGTCAATGAGTAATGAAACAAGTTGAATGGTGATGGAATACAATGTATTAAAGTTTAGTGATCACTCAAAGGCATAATAAAATTCAGTGAGCAAATCGTAATAGAGGTATAATTCAGTAACTAATGAAATATTTAACTTGATTAAAAAAATAGTTGTAGACTTAGTGCATGTTTAGTAGCAATTTTTCACCCTAAAAAATCAATTTTTGGTCAGCCGTCATTACGAATGAGATTTCTGTTGGATCTATCCCATTTTGGGGGTTAACTAAAGAGGTTCTTCACTCAGTCCCACTTTTATCTCTAACGGTCAAAAAATCAATTTTCATAATCAATTTTTAAAAAGATGGCTTCCAAATTTATGACATGAATATGCATATAATTAAAAAAAAAAAAAGAATTAAAAGGCCTCCATTCTAAGATTAGGAAACTTTTTGAATTCACAGATAACAAGATTTAAAAGGCTACATGCAAAATCATTATCCTTACTATATAAAAAGGAGAATGTGAAGTTACTGTAAAAATCAACAGTGACTTGTTCTGTTTTATCTCAATGTAGCAATTTTTTTTTCAAGTGAAGGAGCAAAAACGACATCATTTGTCTTAGTATATATTATTATACAGTGTACCTCAAAATTTACTACAACACGCAATTTTTCATACTTCCCACCAAGTCTCATAAAAATGAGGAAAAAAATTCAATTTTATGTAAAAAAATATTAAAAAATAAAAATACTAATAATAATAAGATAAAAAATTTGCTAGAGTTTAAAAAAATTACTTATAGAAAAAAAAGTTAACTAAGTAAAAAAATTATAATTGTAAAAGCTACTTACATATTATATAAATAAAATGTTGTGCTTACTTAGATATTAGCTTAAAAAACAAAAACAT